TTTTCCTCGAAAGAGGGGTGCAAGTAAGCACGAGAGGCATGCCCGGAGCCGCTTTAACAACACGAGAGAGAAGCTTTCGGGAAAGAATCAGCGTTTTCATGGTAAGTCGAGCGTCGGCATACACATAGTTCAGAGTCAATACTTCCAGGAGACCGTTCGTAGCCGGAATTCATATCACATCCACGATTGCTAACTGACAACTCATTAACAAGACAATTCTCACATCACTATTGCGGACCGAGAAGGCGCAGTACGAGTTCTGGGGTTTCCGCTAGTAACGTGTCAAGAACTTTTCAAACGCAAGCAAAGAGGGTACAGGAAATCATACGCGAAAAGGACCTACCATGGTCGCAGCTCGGCGCATGCAGATTTGAACAATGAGATACCATGCACCCATCGATCCCCATGATACACACGAGAAAGTACTGATCACATGGCCGAATGAAATCAGAGTGCACGATAACGTGCGATCCATCACGCGGCGGCACCATCGCCACCATCCTGATCAGATGTCCAAAGAGTAAGATTGTCTCTGAGGAGCTGCATAATAAGAGTTGAGTCCTTGTAACTTTCCTCACTAACATTATCGAGCTCAGCGATGGCGTCCTCGAATGCCGTTCTCGCCATCTTACAGGCCTCATCAGGCTGATTCAAAACCTCATAATAGAAAACAGAGAAGTTGAGGGCGAGGCCGAGTCTGATAGGATGAGTTACCAACAAGTCGGACTGGGCAGTGGCGGAGGCGTCCTTATAGGCCTGATGGGCGTTCTCAGCAGCCTTGCTCTTGCCCTCGCCCGAGTTGAATTCAGCAATGTAGCGATAGTAGTCACCCTTCATCTTATAATAGAACACCTTGGACTCTCCAGTCTGTGAGCTAGGAATAAGGTACTTGTCCAGCAGCTGGAGTATGGCATCACAAATCTCCTGGAGCTCGGCTTCAACCTTCTCTCTGTAGCCCTTAGCAATCTCCGCATTAGAGTCTTTACCTTTGGAGGACTCCTTCTGCTCAACCGAAGAGATGATGCGCCAAGAAGCACGTCGAGAACCAACCGCATTCTTGTAGGCAACAGACAACAGGTTGCGCTCCTGAAGGAAGAACAGATGAGCCACGCAAGGCAGCGACGCACGGCAAACTCACCTCGACGGTCAACTCGCTACCGCTCTCCGCGACCACTTTCATATAATCGGCCATCTCATCGTAACGCTCAGCTTGTTCGGCCAACTTGGCGAAGTAAACGTTCTTCTCACGCTCTTCGGACATTACTAGAGTGAATTAAATCAACACCGAGTGGAGCTGCGAACCACGCTCATATTGAATGCTCAGATTCGCACATCACTGCGCATTGCAACTAGGAGTGCCGAGTGATGAGGATAACGCATCGCTGCGTTCCGAAAATGCGATTTGAAACGGCGGGAATCTTACACGATCTCGCGCGCCACCAATAAAATCCAAGACCGCATGTCTTACTGATGGTGAGTCACCATTGATGACTGGCATTCGGTACAGCAATACACACTGGATTCTATGTACAACGAGAACTGCCGGACACCAGCAAGGAAGAAAATAGTGTCTCTCATCACAAAGAGCAGTGTCTCACGGATATCGAGTAACATCCGAGTCACGTCTAAACATGTTGAGTTGTATGTCACTATTCGATACTCGGTAGCTCTATGCACCTTATCGTGACAGGTGGCCGCCCAAGGCAATGACAGTCGATAGAGGAGATGTATATTCGCTTTACGATAGCCAACCCGTTCGTTGCGCTTCCGACATCCAACTAGGCACACTCAACACTCAACTTGATAGATATCAGATAAACCAGCTTCTCTCCACGTCAATAATTAGTCAAACAGCAGCGCAAGGTTATGGATGATAGCCGCCACTTGAAGCCCTCGACAGCTCGTCGACAATCTGCTCTACTGCGCAGCATCGGCTGCACCATCCTGATCAGATGTCCAAAGAGTGAGATTGTCTCTAAGGAGCTGCATAATAAGAGTTGAGTCCTTGTAACTATCCTCACTGACATTATCGAGCTCAGCGATGGCGTCCTCGAATGCCGTTCTCGCCATCTTACAGGCCTCATCAGGCTGATTCAAAACCTCATAATAGAAAACTGAGAAGTTGAGGGCGAGGCCGAGTCTGATGGGATGAGTTACAGGCAGATCAGACTGAGCAATAGCCGTGGCGTCTTTATATGCCTGAAAAGCAGCTTCAGAAGCCTTGCTCTTTTCTTCGCCTGAATTGAATTCAGCAATATAGCGATTGTAGTCTCCTTTCATCTTATAATAAAACACCTTCGACTCTCCAGTCTGTGAGTGGGGTATCAGGCTCTTCTCCAATAACGCGAGAACACTGTCGCAAATACCCTGCAGCTCTGTTTCAACCTTCTCCTTGAAGAACTTGGCGATCTCAGCATTGGTCGTGTTGCCCTTGGAGGTCTCCTTCTGCTCGACAGAGGAGACAATCCTCCAGGAGGCCCGTCGAGAGCCAACAGCATTCTTGTAGGCGACCGACAACAAGTTGCGTTCCTGAAATAAAGTCAATAGCACACTAACAGGCTATGCGGCGTGTCTGAGAGACATTTTCATCCATGGGATCATGAGTAGCAGAAAATTGTGAAGCATTTCAATGCGAGTGCGCGACAAGAACTGTGGGGACAGCAGACTTGGTGTCTTACTTCGACGCTCAACTCCACATTTGTCTCGGCCACGGCCTTCATGAACGATGCCATCTCGTCATAACGCTCAGCCTGCTCGGCGAGCTTAGAGAGATACACGTTTTTCTCACGTTCGTCAGCCATTATGAATAGGATAGGATGTAGATGTTGGCGGTAGTGGACACGCGCAATCCTCGTGGGCTCGCGTATAACTCTTGATAAATTGTAAGATTTCGAGAGGCGGATCGGCCGTGTGCAATATGAAGACGGAAGAATTTTTTCAAGGGGTAACCGGATCATCCTCACTGGTGCCAGCGCTTGATCGTGGCGTGGGTGCCGCTGGCTAGGAATGGTCAGATCGTCGAAACTGGGACGGCTGGGATTGTCATCACCGAGTGATGATGACTCGTGCATCCCTTCTCCGAGTGTGACCGAGAACAACTCGACGGCATGAGTCCTCCCTTTTTTCAAGTGCGGCCTTACTCCATAGTGCCGACTAATCATTTGTAGCCCTGTGCATGTCATCGACTCTCATATGAGGGGGCGATTTGTACGATCATCGTACTACGATGTGTGATTTTTCGACACCATAAACGGCACAATTGACTCTTGAACTTTACCACTTGTGAAATTGATCCTACATTCTTTCTGTTGTCTTCGTTACTACGGGGAGCTAGTATCGAGCTTTTTCCCCAGCATACAAGTATTGTATGAAAGTTTCCATAGACTTTTTCCCCGAGAATCACTGTTCCAGTTAATGGGGTTAGGAATAAAATTCACCATGATTCGACCATGTTCCACTTGACAACGCAAAACTTACTCAACTCTCTAGCACTATGATTTACTAAACAACACGAGACTCACTTCTGCTTTGTTAAAGCATTTCTCATATGATGTAATCGGTACAGCAGCTACTACTATCATTCAAGAGCGAATACCCCATACACAACGAGGATTACACTCACCTGGCGAATGAAGGCAGCGACACAGAAAGTTGTATTGCGATTATGAGTACCGGATAATCTGTATATGATAGCACCACTCTAGCTCATTCATCAATTATCAACTGTAGTAATGGTAGTGCTAGAAACACCCATCCAAGGTGGTGATAGAAAAAGGAGCTTGAAGTGTACACTAGAACTCGCCTGATCACGAGGAACATGCGAGATTCACAACCCTCCCACCAGTAAAGAGAGAGCGCCTCTATAAGAGGAATTACTGGGCACCACCCTCAGCAGCACCATCTTGATCGGATGTCCAAAGAGTCAGATTGTCTCTGAGCAGCTGCATGATGAGGGTAGAATCCTTGTAGCTATCCTCACTAACATTATCGAGCTCAGCGATGGCGTCCTCGAATGCCTTGCGAGCCATCTTGCAAGCCTCTTCGGGCTGGTTTAAGACCTCATAGTAAAATACAGAGTAGTTGAGAGCAAGGCCCAGACGGATAGGGTGGGTAACTTGCAACTCAGACTGAGCGATGTTGGTCGCATCCTTGTAAGCCTGGTCGGCGTTATTGGCGGCCTTATCTCTCTTCTCACCAGTGCTGAATTCAGCGATGTAGCGATAGTAATCACCCTTCATCTTGTAGTAGAAGACCTTGGACTCGCCGGTCTGGGAATGAGGAATGAGAGACTTGTCAAGAAGATCAAGAATAGCATCGCAGATTGTCTGGAGCTCAGCCTCAATCTTCTCTCTGTAGCCCTTAGCGATCTCAGCATTGGTCGTGTTGCCCTTAGAGGTCTCCTTCTGCTCAACAGATGAGACGATCCTCCAGGAGGCACGTCGAGAGCCAACAGCATTCTTGTAGGCGACCGACAACAAGTTGCGTTCCTACATAAGAGAAGATATAAAATAACAATAGCGCTCAGACACCCGACCACATTCTCCTCGCCACTTTGCTAGCCATTTTAACCCCTCTTACCTCAACACTGAGCTCTCCTTTTTCCTCAGCCACGGCCTTCATGTACGAGGCCATCTCGTCATAACGCTCAGCCTGCTCGGCCAGCTTGGAAAGGTAAACATTCTTCTCACACTCGTTCGCCATTTTAGGTTCACTAAGACAGTAATCTGATAATAGCCTTACGCCAGAGAGCTGTTGCGAGAGAACTGCAAGTGACCCAAGATTTCAAGATTCCGAGTCAAGCACTATGTTCATCAAGCTCAAACGACGTAAATCGTAGAATTTATGTGCTAATTTGATTGCTTCATTTCCTAACACTACTACTCACTCATCTGGAAGACCGGAAATATGCTGAATACACTGTCAGGGAACTGTACGCCTAGCGCTTCAGATTGTGTCCTGGAAGCTGTCTTCACTGGCACAAATGAATGTCCCCGAAAGATTCTTATGATCATTTTGCTCGTTGCTCCAGGCTTGCAAGTGCTCTTGATGATGAAGTCTTCCTCTGTGCCACTAAAGTTAAATTTGTTCTGCTGTAATCACAAGGACTCGAAGAGCTCTGTCGCGTTATGTCGTCGAGGATGGCGTAACGTGACATACCTCTCCTAGGAACAGGAAATTCCATGCGCTACGATGCATGTAGCGGTTTCACACTGGAAGATGAACAACCAATGGCAGCTTTGCCTCTCTCTGGCGTGGATATGCCTTCTTTTGGGGTCAGTATGCCTCGTTTTGGGGTCGGTATGCCTCGTTTCGGGGTCAGTATGCCTCGTTTTGGGGTCAGTATGCCTCGTATTGGGTTCAGTATGCCTCGTTTCGGGGTCAGTATGCCTCGTTTTGGGGTCAGTATGCCTCGTATTGGGGTCAGTATGCCTCGTTTTGGGGTCAGTATGCCTCGTTTTGGGGTCAGTGTACCTCGGCTTGGGCGGATGTGGCTTATTTCAGGATGAGTTGGCCTTGTTCTAGGACGGATATTTTCCCCCAAGGCGGCTATGCCTTAAAGCAGGTAGCCTGCGCAACAAACCATTAATGTTACCTTCCTCGTCGTTCTTATGACAGTAGCCTTATTGCCTGAATGATGGACCACGGTCGGATATGACGCGAGCTGGGGCAGGTATGCCGCGTGCTGGGGCGAGTATACCGCGTCCTGGGGCAGGTATGCCGCGTGCTGGGGCGGGTATGCCGCGTGCTGGGGCGGGTATGCCGCGTGCTGGGGCGGGTATACCGCGTCCTGGGGCGGGTATGCCACATCCTGTCCTATATTCATTGTTTACTGGATCTTGTTGTTTTCAACACAATATAATTACAAACCTGCATTTGCTTGGTAATGGTGCATCCAGTGCATAGTATTAACAGAAGATTAGATATCGGGTGGTCGTCGATGTGACATGCCGAACATAGGAAAGGAGGGCTTCGCCGATTCTTCCCTCCGTAACCGTTTTGCTGCAGCCATGGACTCTTCCCGTTGTCGTTCGACACAGCTATCATCCCACTCGTCCACCCATTTTCGTTTGAGGCTGCCTGAATAAAAGGTTACATATCACATTAATTGTATACGGATGGACGATCGATACCGACCTTTATCGCGAGCCCTCTTGACTCCTCTCTGCAACAGACGCAGCATCTTCCATCTCGCCTCCCCAAACACAGCATGTAGATCATCGGATCCTTCCAAAGTCTTTTCGACCACCGGTAGTGTTCGAGACTATTACAAGAAACATCAAGAGGAATGAGGTCGGAAGCGACAGTACTGGTTGGCCTCGGCCTTTTTCGGCCTGCATTGCTCGTAGCACTCCTTGCCGAGTCGGTTCCAGTGAGAAAGCTCCCATCTTCTTCCCATCATATGCCGCTTGTAGCCGGAAGAAGTATCTTTCAGTATCTTTCTTTTATACACCACCGAATTCGCAGCGACCCATGCTACTCTTTAATTTCGCCAATGGCGACATCACGGCTCCAGGGGTAAGGCATGGCGAGACTCTCTCGCCTCAGTATGTCTTGGATATCTCGCTCCTTTTTACCTACCGAAATCGAACATTCATTCACAACATTTTAGGAAGATCTTTCATTACCCCGAAATATGGGAAGCGTCGGGCGCGATTCTATCGACACTCCTTTGGATTGCGATAGCTTCTGTCGTAAGAATACTGGGTTCTTCGACTCCTTTACTGCTTCTACTTCAGAAGTATTGGCCACCCGTATTGCCTGCCGCTAATCAGGTCCCAGCAAGGTATGTCCTCCAGGCGGGTCACCTTCCTGATCTTCTTCCGTGTATTGTTCTCTCCCATGATCCTTACCATAGCAGCGATCCGGGGCTCTTTCACCAGAGATGACACGGACGCAGAAGCGTTACACTCCGGACATGTTTGAGAGACAAGCTCAAGGTGACGGCGGATGCTGAGCGATGAAACGGAACGGTAGAGTAAATACAGAAGGCAACTCCATACCAAGCACTGCAGAAGACATGAGAGCACTTGGCCATCATTGGAGCATCGAGAAAGCCTTTACAAACGGGACAACGTAACTGCGAACAAACTCATCATGCGATTGAAACCGGCAGACCACCTTCCGGCTGAACGTATCTCTTTTAAACTAGGTTGAGCGAACACCGTTGGACATTACCTGTGACTCCATCTCTTTAAACGCAGCCAATAAACCGGAGTTTTCTCCTCCTCTCAGAGCCGCTGGCCCTTCTCCCACACTCCTGGATATTATTATCATGGACACATTCACGTTGCCCTCACTGTATCACTTCCTTGCACGAGGAGGGGTTGCTTGCCCCAACTTCAATGGACTCGTATTGACTGCCACGTTCCTGTTCTGGCGCGGGGTCGGAGCTGTCTTTACTCTTCCGGACTGTCCTCCACGCTGCCTTTGCGGCGTCGACAATATCCTATAACACACCAAATGGTGACTTCCACTATTACTGCCCTTCATCATTACCTCCCCGATGTAGAGCTGATCTCTTCTACTTTCCTTTCCTCAAGGCGAGCACTTCTTCGAGGGGCCGGCGCTCTGAGATTCAACAATTAGTTATATTCAGCAAGACTAACTCAACCCACCCCATTTGCGCATCGCAAACGTGATGGCTCGGTGAATTGGTATCAGAACACAGATCAACCACTTCCGAAGTGTCACTGGTTCTTCTTCCCACTAGTCGCCCCGATGCAGTCATGGCCAACCTAGATGATGGGAAGTCCTCTCCTACCAGTTGAGTGGGACTAGAACTCAACATAGCCGCAATACAAAAGATATCTTTACATTGACAAGTAGAATGTATGATGGTCACCGCCAGTAGTAGTAGCAGCAGCAGGAGGAGGAGGGGAATAGTACAGAAGGCAAATGAGAGGTGGGAGAAGAAGGGCGGAGACGCGAGCAAAACAAGGATGATGCTAATGATGACGAAAACAGAAGAGGTCGCGGTTGAACAAGTCAATTGACGACACTCGTACCAATCTTACCGGTAGACACACACACTCGACGATCGAGAAGAGAAAACGCATTGCCTTTCCATCGGCACATTTCATCATCATTATTATTGCAGACCCTCACACGGCAGTCTGCTGTATACAGAAACTTATGCCCTCAATAAAAAGTAATGTATTGAGCGAGAGCAAGGTACACCATTAACGTGTTGAAGCAACGCATCTCCATAATAGCTCACCTGAACATAAATCCACCATGACTAACAAAGTCATCATCTATATGTCTTACTTCTACTCCTACACATTTGCCTTCGTCGAACTGCCCTGTGCCGTGTTGTGGCCATCGTATTCAGCTTGAAGGTATGCCCACTTCGCCTCAGCTATCTCCTTCGCTTTTTGAGACCTAAACACATCGACATCTGAATGATGAACCCGAGATAATACTCTCCTACTGTTCCGCGATGATCCGGACTTTCGAATTGCACTCATCAAAAAATGGTGGATCAGCTTCCATGAGCAGTTTAATAACATTGTACGACAAACCGTGGACAGTAGTGTTCCAATGGGAGTCAGAATTCCTATATCTGCATCAAAATGAATGTAAGCAATACAAAGGGCCATTCAAACAACTTACAATGGTCCAATGACAATCGGGAATATAACCTGCCGGTTCTGGTTGATTCGCTTCGCGATATAATCATTATTCCATAAGAAAAGCACTCGTTCAGCGACCTATAACAACAACTCTCACAGCGAAGGTCGAGATCATATCATCTACCTGGAAATGCGGACTTGCAATACATTGCCCTATCCGTCTGAATAATGGCACTTCAACTTTCTGGAATTCCGGTGGTTGCGTCAACTACATAATTAAAAAAGTGCTTCGCTCCGCTGTTGACCTCAGTAAGTTTACCTCCAAAACTACCTCCACTTCATTGAGAAACAACACTTCTTTGGGCGTGTTCGTTATCGGCCAAAATCGGAGGAGACCTGCCATCATCACACTTCCATCATTTATCGCTTCGCTCCGTCGAAATTCTACCCAAAATTATGGAATCTGCCAACCGCGGGTCCTTCTCAACGTACTGAGTCATACAATAGGAAAGTTGCTGATGGAAAGAGTTCAACGTCTTCACCTACACAAAGTCACAAAGTCTTTGAATATCACCCAGATCCCCCCTCACCTTATGGAGGGGTATAAGGCTCTTCTCTAAGAACTGCTTGTGCTCCTCCTTCAACGGAAGGGCAAAACCGTTAACAATCGAGCCGAAAATTTCCAACAGCTCCTCAATGCCATTATGGTACTCGCTCTCGTAGATGATCTTATAGAACAGGTTCTGCATCGCCTTTCGAATGAATGCCCGCAAGGCCATGAATTTCCCTAGCAAATCCAATACTTCGCCGCGCTGCTACTACTGCAAGTACCGTATATCCTATGCAGTATCGTTTTGAGGTAGTCCCTCTCTCGGGGGTCTTCCGAGTCGAACAGATCCATCAGCCTAAAGAACGACTATCGATACTCATAAAGCTCCCACTAGAGCAATTTCAGAGTCTCCATCGCGAATGAGTATTAGAGCAACCTCTCCTGCGACTCCCATTACCTCAATACGAACGTCTGATCTACGAACCTCTTGGCAACTTTTGGGTCAACATCGTTGGATACTACGAATCGGAGAAAAAACTCATACCTATGAGGAAAATCTTTACGAGCAATGAGAACCGCGCCCTTACACAATCTGAAGGTGAGGCCAGCTAGGCTCCAACGTAGGCTCGTCATCTTCCGGATCGTATATCGAGTTGGGGTTGCGACCATGCACCGGTGGAAGCTACGAATAATAGCACTATACGGTAAATCGAAAATGGGATCAAGTGAGGTAAGAGAAGAACATTCCTCTCCGATTACTACCGCCCGGAAGATATTCGCCGATACCATATTAACCACATCTTGCATGATTGACTCATTGAAGCAGTTGCGTGTATTATTCACATATCTAAGAATCACAAGCTGATGAGAATCTTAAGTCCGACCTTGGTCCCTACTCGACGAGCTCGAGCAGTGTCTGTCGTTTTGCCTCCTTTTCTTTTAGATATGTTTGTTGGTTACCAAAGTCGAATACAACCCCACAAGCCCGGACCTTCTTCCGAAAGAGCTCGCTTCTCTCAGCCACCGGTGCATCTATCACATTCACTACTGTACATACGAATATTCATAGTGAGCTCGTACTTCGTAGGGGAGGAAGATCCTCGAAAGGATTGACGTCAGCCGACATATAATGGCCAGGTTTTATTAGCATTTGTGTAGAGTTAAGGAAGCCCTGTGCATGTTGATGGTGATGATGTTGATTGACCTGCCCATAGAGCTCCTTCCTCCCACACTGAGCGGAGCCTCTATTACTTTATGTCCACCACTGCTAGAACCCGAGTGTTGTTTGACTGGCGGCCCTCTACTACTAGTTCCTTGAGAGCTACTGTTAGCCCCACCACCTCCTGCTACTACCGCTCTTTCATCTCCTGAAAATCAAACCCAATGTGTGGGGAAATACGAACATGGTCAACTATCTGTGTTGGTGACAATGTGAAAATTCTGAGGAAATTTTGCAAAAATTTTTGTTAATTTCTATACACTTCTACCCTAAACCGTGTGAATACGAGGAAAGCGAACATGTATGCCAACATCGATGAGACCTCTAGAGAAGACGAAGAGCTTTTGCTTTACCGTTAGGTGAGTTGGCCAAGGTGGTGGATCCAGTCGAATCAGCTGGCGTGGTATTGCTATTGTCGCTCTTCTTCTCCTCAGTCCCCATTCGACGCTTTACACTTTGAATCAGCTTCATAGCAACTAATACCACTAACAACTATCAAGTCTCAACAACTCGGGTCTGCCGAACAACGCAAAATTATAAAACGTGCAAGTCCTGCAACACTTCGCTCCGCTAGCACATGCGTTGTGAAGAGTCAGCAAAGCGCTCCACACCAAGACCGACGCAAGATCGTTGAGGTCGACGATTCCCCGAATCCACTAGACTCAATCCGGTAGACATAGAGCAAATAATTACCGAATCTTAGTTTTTGTGTTTATCGTAGCAACTACTGGAGTGTATCTTACCGTTACTGAGCAAAATGATTAATGGGCGAGCGATAATCAGAACTGCGCTGAGCAGATGATTAATGGGCGAGCGATAATCAGAACTGCTCACACTGGGGGGCCCAGCGACAAAGTGAATTAACGAGCTACTAATTTATATACGATATTGCAGAAGGAAGATAGAAGATGTCAGCAAACTCTTGAGATAGTAAACGATCAATCATCATGATCACCTTCAGCTGCAATCATCCTCAGGGTAGCCCTAGTGATCCGACGTACCACCGTTAGAGAAGAGCGTAGGTCAATTACTGTCGGTGAAGTGTGGTCGAGATAGGAATCATTAGCCAAGTACTCTTCGCCATTGCGCACGGGTAGACCATCGGACCTTCGACAGTAGGGAGCGATGACGATGATGGGTATTTCCTCATCTAAACTGAGCAATCGGCCAAAATACCATCGACCAGCATCTTGAGGTTTGTCTCCCAAGGTGTCGTTAACGGGCACGTAGAATGCGACAACATCCATACCGATGTGGAGACTTCCAAGGCCAGACGAACGAGGCCGAGAAGTTGCCGAGGTCGTCGGATTGGCAACGGAACCCACGTCACCAGTCGCTCCTCCCACATGATCTGAGGTACCCACGTCCACAACAGCATCCTGCAAGGCCATCATGGGGTCTTCGCTGAAGGAAGGTTCTCGGCGTATCGGCGGAGAGTCTTCAACAGCAGGGAAGGAAGCAGCGTGATGCCGTCGAGCCGGTGGAGAGTCTTCATCAGCGGATAGATCACGAACCGATGGAGAGTCTTCCTCAATAGGACGACCACGAACGGATGGAGAGTCCTCACCAGTAGAGAGACCATGAGCCGTGCTGTTCTGGGCAGTTGCGGGAGCAGTCTTGCAGTTGTCCCGCGCACAAAGAAGCTCTGTACCGCGATCGTCGATGACAGTAATGATCGTGCTCCCAGGAGATGCCGAAATCACCTCGAAGGGACCCTTCCATCTGAACGACAGCTTAGTTCTGGGATGACCCCAGACGTAGACCCAATCACCCGGAGAGAGGTTCAAAGGTGGAACTCTAGTAGCCATTGTCGATCGGACCCGCTCACGAAGGTCCAGCCAGACCTGACGATACTGTTGCCAGCGTGACACCTTGACATTTTGGATATCAGTCAGAATGTCCAACGATACAGCAGACGTGACTGAAGGCAGTCCTTGGTAGACTTGGTGAGCAGCTGAGTCATCGATCGGGTCTAAGGCTGGGATACGACCTCGGGTGAAATAGACCAGATCATGAGGAGCAATGTCGGTGCCAGGCAATGGGAGTAGATTCCACGCTCTCAGCCCGTGAAAATAATGACGGACCCATGATAAAGCCAAGGTACCCGAACCGAGTTTCCCTAGGATAACCCTCATATAACCATTCACCTCCTTGTGCGGCCGCTCACCAGATCCTAACAGGAAAGGTGCGTTGGCAGGGAGCTCCTTAAAGATAACGTTGTTAGAGGCGCAGAAATGGGTCCATTGGTGTCCTCGGAACGTCGAGTCGCTAGCCAATATCAAGGAAGGCCAATCAGTAGAGTCGAAGAGGGCCGCAAGCTTGAGGAGAAGTGTAGCACAGCTCTTATCAGGGACAGTGACACCTCGACAATATCGTGTGGCGACGCAAACGATAGTGACAGCGTAGCGATCGTAGGATGGATCTTGTCCATTCTCATATGGTCCACTATAGTCGATCATAACAACACGGAGAGGCC